GGCTTCCAATTTGTTTTTGAAACGAATAAAAATGTTTTTTCGAACATAAAAATGCTGTCAACAGATTTATAATGCGTAAAACAACGGCGGGGTAAGCTATGACGCAGCAAGTTTAGCAAATCAAAAAAGTTGGTTTTCCTCCGCGGAGCTTTGCAGAAGGAAAGGTTAATGAGTACCTAAATACCGCTAACGACCCGCACTGACAATCAAATTGGCGCTTAATGATCTCGCATCGATGCTATAGTTTTATCATGAAGGGAAACATCCTGAATCGTCCGCAACCAAAACAAACTTTTTGTAAACTTTCATTTTCGAAAATTTCGGCATTTTCACGTCCGTGTTAACTTCAAACGTATGTTTTGGAATGCTCAGTGTCCTTTAGTGCTGAGTCCATGCGAATAGGAGTTTCTTGTAATTCTTCGCGAGCGGCCAATGCTTTGCTGTCTATTCGGAGGTCGCGGGGCTCGTACCCCCACACGGACAGGATTTTTGCCAAGTTTGTCGTTTACGCTGCTCTTGTCGATGCTAAACTGTCCATTTTAGCTAGGGTTTTTCGCGTTTAGTTTGCTTTCATTTAAATCACAGATCCCTTTTGAAAATCACGGAGTTTTTTGGCGGTTTGACATTTATTTTTTCGAGTTCAACACTTAAACAAAGACACATCAAGATGGCAAAACGGACACGTGATAGAACGCGTACAGATAAAATCGAGCATGATAACCATGAGCGCCTAGTTTAAACAATGCGATCGCATTCTTAGCACCGATAACGATCAAACTTCGACCAATCACGGTCGAGCCAGGGCTCGAACACAAAGGATTCGTACAGTGATGTACTGTACAGCGATGTACAGGCGATAATCATGACAATCATAACTTTTGCTCGTACGATGCTGAGTTTTTGGGAGAAAGGTGTCGCATTCGACCGGTTTTGATTCCCAAAATTTCGAATCGAAGCTTCCATCCAGAAGGGAGAAGCGAGCCGTGACGCAGCACCTTTTTCTGGTGCCAAAAAATCGACGGTGATTAGCAGAGCCTTGGCAGAGCAAATCTGCGGAGATAATTGCCCTCCGCACAAAGAGGTGGCGGTTAACGACCCACGCGACAAAGCCTAACACGCTTAACGACCCGATGTAACCTTTTCTCTGGAGAGGCAATCAGGTCCGCAAGCAAGGCAACTTCCGCCGAAAAAAAGTTTGTTTCGAGGAGTTTTAGGCAGGAAAGCCGACTCAGATCGAAACGAAAAAGCGATTCCCGCACTGTTTGGGCCAGCCGGGCCAGCCGGAAGAGGAGGGCGCAGGACGGGGAGGAGGGATCTAGGAGGCTATTTTAACAGGCGATTTGTGACCGTCCGACCGCGGGCAGCAGAGCTTGCCCTGATTTGAATTTAGGCATATTAGTATATAGGACCAGTGGACCGCCGGCCCGCGACAGCCCGAGCCAGTGGACCGCCGGCCCGCGGCACGCCCAGCCAGTGGACCGCCGGCCCGCGACACGCCCAGCCAGTGGACCGCCGGCCCGCGACACGCCCAGCCAGTGGACCGCCGGCCCGCGACATGCCCAGCCAGTGGACCGCCGCCCCGCGACACACCGAGCAAGTGACCCGCAAGCCCCCGCCCAACCCTAGGTGCAAATTAGCAAAGAACGAACTAACGCCATCCCCAACACACAAAGTCCCCTCACACAAAACCCCAACACACACGACCCCAACACACACTACCCCAACACACACGACCCCAACACACACGACGGGCCCCCCGCAGAGGCGTGGCTCCCGCACAAAAGAGGCTCACGCCAAAAAGAGGCTGTGCCTGCTCCCCCGCAGAGGCTGCAAGTTCACGCCCTCTCCCATCACAAAATTCTTCCTCAAAAAACAGTGCAAAAAACACTCGCACTCCTGCAGAATTCAGCGAAAAAATCACTCGCGCTCCTACGCGATTTTTACTCGCACTCCTGTCACAGGCGCTAGAGGGCGGGGAGGAGAGGGGAAAAAAGGTTCCCGCCCTCTAGCGCCTGTGACAGGAGTGCGAGTAAAAATCGCGTAGGAGCGCGAGTGATTTTTTCGCTGAATTCTGCAGGAGTGCGAGTGTTTTTTGCACTGTTTTTTGAGGAAGAATTTTGTGATGGGAGAGGGCGTGAACTTGCAGCCTCTGCGGGGGAGCAGGCACAGCCTCTTTTTGGCGTGAGCCTCTTTTGTGCGGGAGCCACGCCTCTGCGGGGGGCCCGTCGTGTGTGTTGGGGTCGTGTGTGTTGGGGTAGTGTGTGTTGGGGTCGTGTGTGTTGGGGTTTTGTGTGAGGGGACTTTGTGTGTTGGGGATGGCGTTAGTTCGTTCTTTGCTAATTTGCACCTAGGGTTGGGCGGGGGCTTGCGGGTCACTTGCTCGGTGTGTCGCGGGGCGGCGGTCCACTGGCTGGGCATGTCGCGGGCCGGCGGTCCACTGGCTGGGCGTGTCGCGGGCCGGCGGTCCACTGGCTGGGCGTGTCGCGGGCCGGCGGTCCACTGGCTGGGCGTGCCGCGGGCCGGCGGTCCACTGGCTCGGGCTGTCGCGGGCCGGCGGTCCACTGGCTCGGGCTGTCGCGGGCCGGCGGGCCACCCAGACCCCGCTTTGGCGGGGTCGTCAAGAGTGGAAATTCGGGCTAGGTGGGCCTTGCAAGACCCCGCTTTGGCGGGGTCGCCAAGAAAGGCTAGTTTACTTCGATTCCATAATAATAAATAACAATAACATTAAGTAAACACTTTATGGAGGATTGTAGTCTATTTACAATAACATTCAGTAGAAACTTTTCAGTGGATTGTAGTTTATTTAGATAAAGTGTGGGAACTTGTGGCATATTCTATGTGTTATATTGTAATCAAGAATAGAAAGTGACAATGTAAAAAAATACGCACACTGTCAGCTGGAATTAAAATATTTGCTATCAAGAGGAGGTTCATAAAGATTTATGCTTCTCATGTGTCTGGTGAGCCAAGTGGCCAGCTATGTGGACCTAGTGTCATGCACTTGAAGAATTTGGGCATTGTTGTTTGGTGTTTGTAATGAGGAATGATGAATTGAATGGTTCAGCTATGGAAGGTCCGTTGGAAGTTTTTAATGGATTGATATTTTTGGAAGTGATGAGAAATTGTAGCTGGTAGATTGTAACAGTCAGTGTGACGATGTGAAGATGTACGCAGAGTGAGGACGTAAGGGCAGTTTTTACAAGCTCTAGTCATGTAGCCTTTTGTAAATGACATGTTCTTGTTTGAAAAATAATATTATATTTTAGCTTCTCTTATTTGTTCGTGTGGCTAAATTCGTAGCAGGGGGTCTGTTTTCTATTAAAAGGCCTCTTTTGATTAAAAAATATGATTAAGGTATACACAGTTTTTTTATAAGGAACCTACCTCAAGTACCGATTGTTAAGGATGAAATGTTCTGTTGTAACTGATAAATTGTATCTTATTAGGAAGTCACCATTTTCAAATGTACGCAGTGACTCTTAAACTTAAGTGATTTCTAATAGAGAGGATATTAATGAGTAATTATGATTGACATGTTTCTAATGAGGCTGGTGCCCAGATATCTGGACCCAATGTCATTCACTTCAAGGCCCCGAGTAGCATTGTTTCGTCGTTTATAATGAGCAATATTATATATTATGACTTTGTCTGTGCCAAATGCCTAGATATCTAGGGCAAATGTTTTTTGCTGGGGAAGATTAAATCTAATTTTCAAATGCAGCGTTTTTCGTCGTTAGGATGAATGGCAGATTATTTGCAGGCAGAGATAATCATTTCGTCATCATCATCAATAACATAATGATTGTTATTATTAGGTACTGCAAGAATAAATACATACTGCCAGCGAATCTAGGATGTAAATTTTAAATAGGTCGAGTAGTATACTTTGGCTAGCTAATGGTGGAAAGTCAATTAAAATAAACATTGTAAAGGTTAGGTACAACGATGTTACGAAATTGAATAGAGAATAAACTTTTTAAAAATATTACTAAAGGATTTAGACTTTAGAGGAGGCTAGAGGTTTGGTTACATTTGTTAGTCATGCCTTTGTTTATCTATTTTGCATTATTTACTTTTGGGTAAGGTGGAGTTTCGTTGGAATTATAGGTGGTCGTAGTTTCTATTTGGTAGTAATTGTTCTGAAACAGGGAAAAAGCATTTACAATACGAGGAAGGAGGATGTTAATTGACGAAAATATGTTTCTACTTTATTCACTGTTCCTTATTTGATAAGATAACTGTTCCATGATTGTAAAACTGAACGTGTTTAATTGAATTGAACCAGTTTTCTTGTGTAATATCATCTTCTGGCAATCCTGGTGTTTGACTTCAGCGCTCAGAGAGAAGAGAAACATGTATTAGTTTGTTATACTTTAGTTTGTTATGAATAATGTAGAAAATATGAAAGTGTACTGAAACATTTGCCGGGTGCATTAGTGAGAAAGCCCAAACACCACGTCAAGGGGCACCCTTTGTTTGGGGTTTCCTTTTTGCGTGGAAAATGCGGTTCACAGCTTGAAAATATTAAATGTAGTTTTAAGTTTGTTTAAAGATGTTGTAAGCGAATTTGTAGATGTAATTAATTATAAATCATTTCAAGTTATAAGCTGCTGGAGTTTCCACTGAGAAGGAAACACATGTTCCCATAGGCAATGTCGAGGAACATGTAAAAGCATAACTCACAGAAGCAGGAAGAAATGAATTGAATTAGAAAGAATAGATGTTAGAAAATGAGAAGAGAAAAGACACGGAAGCATACAATGAAAATGTAGTGAATACACGCAGTCATTTGCAATTGTTACAAAATAGATGCAGGCGTGTGGCGGGGTGCTGAGGTTTAGAAGTATTTCTACTGTAATACTTCAGGGTATACAATATTTTTTGTTCTATTACCTCGTGGCAACAGAACCTTAATGCCTGTAAATGATTTGGCTCTGGACATGGCAACGTAGAGTTGGCCATGTGTGAAAACAGGTTCTGGGAGGTAAACGCCAACATACCTTAACGACTGTCCCTGTGCTTTGTTGATGGTAAGGCAGTACGCCAACCTCACAGGAAATTGCAGTCTGGCAATGTCAATGGGTAGGGCGGTGTCTTTAGAGGACATTGTGATTCGAGGAATCATGACGTAGCGTCCTCTGTGCTCAGTAGCAATGACTTCTGCCCAAATCAGGTGGTGTTGTAAATCCCGGATGATTAGGCGGGTTCCATTGCAAAGACCCTTCTTGGGATTGATGTTCCTCAGGAGGATGATTGTTGCACCAAGCTTGGTGTTTGAAAAGAGAAATGGGTGTCTGTTATTCTAGAGAACCGGGATATTGGAGAAAAAAGGACATTAAGTAAAATAGTTAGTGGTTCATTGATGTTATGTTAGGAAAAGATTAAAGAATATAGAACAAAGTTTCCTTATCAGAAAAGAGCTGTACCTTGAGTTCTAGTTCGTGAAGTGGCATACCAGTTGGTGTCTGTGAATTGAGGAACTCAATAGGATATGCTGCAGCTTCCTCGGGATCATCAGTGATTACTCTGTCAGCACTGAGGTATGTCTGGGTAGGGGCACGGAGCCTATCCAAAATCAGTTGATTGATTTCATGGGAGGCGTCGTTGGTGGGTGTTAGACAGCAGCGCTCTGACATTGCTTCTGGATTGGCCATTATGTCTGGCTCTCCGGGTGGTGGTGGCGGATAAAGAAAGTCAACAATCTCGTCGAGTGACTGCACCAGCATGTGGTTAGGCAAGGTGATTTGACCTTCTTGATCCTGTGGTTCTTCTCCGTTTCCAATTCTTAAGAGCCAATCAGAAAACTCTCGGTATGTTTCGTCTTGGATGGCTCTCATGTTTCTGATGAGTTGAAACGTGCGGAAATGGCGCCAGAGAGGTGAATTCTTCATGCTTTCCTGCACAATTCGTTCTCTACCTGCTTTAAGAACAACTGGAAGAATCTGTCTAAAATCACCACCAAGAAACATGAATTTACCTCCAAAGGGTCTGTCATTTCGAGTAATGTCCCTGAGTAGGATGTCAATTACTTTCAAAGCGTTAACTGGGATCATCGAGGCCTCATCCCAGATGAATACAGTAGTTTGCAAAAGCTTTTGAGCTTTAACGCTTTGACGCTTTATGTTGCATGTGGAATCGGATAATAAGGGAATAGGAATCTGGAATGTAGAATGTGCTGTGCTTCCATTGATAAGCAATGTGCTTGCAATGCCTGAATAAGCAACACATTTAACAGTAATTCCTGCTGCTTGGAGGTTATGAACAACTGTATTGTACAGGAAAGTTTTACCTGTTCCTGCTGGACCGTCAACAAAGAAGCAGTTGTTTTCGGAATGTGTCTGGATAGCTTCCATGACGGTGTCGTAGATATGACGTTGTTCATTGTTGAGGAACTGCAAAATTTGTTGTCCAAGGTCTCTTTCCTGAGCAATGTCGATGTTTTCTTCATTTTGCTCTGGATTCCGAAAGTTGTCTGGCAGCTGTGGCAACTCAGAAAATTCTGGATCTGCGATTGATTTTCCGTGGACTTTCAACAGGGTGTTTATGTCCCAAAGGCACAGGTACATGTGTCTGTCCTGGAAGTCAATTGTTGGGTCATTGTGAAGCCGTCTATCATGTCGGATGTAATCTTCAGACATGGGCACTTTGAACTGGTCGAAAAGAGCTCTGATGTCAGCTGGAGTCTGAAAGATGATGAGCGTTACAAAGAGCTGTCTCATCTGCGGTGGCATGTTAATGATCACAGCTTCTTCTAGGCAACGTATAAGCTCGGCATCATCGTCTAATATGCCCATGGCTTTTGCTGCATTCTTAAATGTGTCATGTAGTTGACCATCAACTGTTCTGAGGTCTTCAAAGGATGTTGCACCTCTTCTATGGAGAAGAAGTAGTCGTAAAGCATGTCTCTCTGGGTCGGATGGCTGGACTTGGTATATCCTGCCAACAATTTTAGAGACAAAACGTACCTATAAAGGAAAGAGATATGGAAGTTTTGTTCATGAGGTTGTGTTACAATTGTGTGAAAATGTTGCTTGGCACATAAGTGGAAGGAAATTCGTCGACTATTTTATGGTAATCAAAAATGGATAATGATAAGAGAAGTAAATGTAATAATTATTATAAGAATACCTTTCGTTTCCATGTTTTTGTTGCTTTGTCGAATGTATAGAGTTCGGGAATTTCATGGTAAAGGTACTGCTGTGCGTCTTGATCATTGCTGTTCAACTGAAACCAAGCAGTGAGTGTGGTGTTCAGGTTTCTGTGTAGAACTTGCTGTTCACGCCCCTCTTGGAAGTAGACATTCTGCTGTAGAGGGAGATGTACTGCAAGGCGTATGATTGTGTGGCTTCTGTCATGAAATTTGTACTGCATGATTCTGAACACAGCCTGGTGTGGTCCAACATATCTTGCGTTTAAATATTGGAGGATTTCATCGTGATGGAGAGTGTTTTCTCTGATCTCAACGTGTGCACAGTCGCTCCCTTTGTGGATGTATTTAAAAATGTACTTTACACTTTTGACGCTTGTGCACACTTCTACATTCATGTGGCAATTGAATTTCATGAGCAGATGAGAGTTGTAGGGAACTACCCAGGAGTCATTGGCGAGGTGGTTGCGTAGCTGGGCTGCATGCTGACCACGTCGTCTGTATTGTGGGTAGCCATCAACATTGAACTCTGTCCGCTGGTTTAATGGCTTTGGAAAGTTTTTGGTACATTTCCCTTCTGCCATGCATGGGCAATGAGGGTCAAGATCACCACATGGGCCATGAATCATGTGCTTCTTGACCAGGTTATGTAGTTCTTGGCTGGTTCGAGGATCGGGGATTTCAGCTGAAACCAAGCGATCTATGTCTGCAGCATCGTGTGGTTTGTCTGCATTTGAAAAAAAGATGAGCATATGCGCATGGGGCAAACCACGTTTTTGAAACTCGATAGTGTATACGTACGCGATGACATGTCCTAGCAGGTGTCTTTTCAGGATGTCATCAAGGAGCTCCTGGAGTTTCAAATGGAAGACACGGCTGATGATGTCAGGCCTGTCGCTTGGTTGCTGGTGTGGAAGGAGGTTCTCAGTCACCTCTGGCCATCGTGGATTGGCAGTGATTGTAAGAAAGATATCGGGTTTTCCAAACTTTACGACAATGCTCATGGCATCCTGGTAGTTTTGGTACATGTTTCTGTCACTACCATGGAATGTGGAGGGCAGTATGACAATACGCCCTATATTTGCATGCTCTTCTTCTGCACGTGCGTGAATATGGTCCATTAGTCCCTGGTAGGATTCAACTCTGAGTTGAGCCTGGTTTCTTCTAATGAACTCTAATTCATTGCCTTCAATCTTTGTGAATGCATCAACCAGGTACTGTTGAAAGAGTAGCTTTGAGCGATGAATTGTGGAAAATGCATCACGGACGGCAACCCTAAAAGCATAAAATTCGTTAAATGAAATGCGTAGTCTTGGATTGGCAACCCTTGCCCTTTGACGCCCTTGTTGGGCAGGGGCAGGGGCAGGGGCAGGGTTGCGTGCAAGCTGTGTGTGCCAACCTGATTCACCCCTGAAGAAGAGAAGAGGGTAGGTCATTGGATCTGCTGCTGGAGATGTTGCCTTTATTTTTACAGTGTTACGCTGGTTGTTTGGGTAAGTCTCAATGTCCCTCTCTGCTGGGTTGGGAGGGGCTCCTCCATCTCCGACAAAAACAGCTGCTATTTCGGAAACTATCGGTTCATCATAGCGTCGATCTTGCAGTGCACGATGTGCTATGATCATTCGTACTGGTAAAAGTGGCTGGTTGTTTTGAACTGCAAGGGCTCGTTGTTGTTGTATTACTTCTCCCATGTTTCTGTACTGCCTTGCAAAAGGGTTAGCAGCCATAAGTTCTCGTTGGATCAATGTCATGAGTTCTGGTCTTAGGTTGACATTTCTAGGGTCAGCAACGCGCTCTTGCAAGGCCTGATCAGTGTCTAGGATGTAAAGCTGACTATACCTGGGGCGTTCACCAGGGAGTGGCTCACCAGCACTTGTAAGATGGTAGGCCTGGCCATGGATCGTAATGACTTTAGGACCTCTTCCAGGGTGCTGGTCGATGGGCGCGTTCCATGAAGCCATGGCAAATGCAGAGTTGTAATGGCGGATGTTTTGAAGAAAATGGCGTGAAGTGGGTGATTCTTCTGTAAAGAGGTCCACTATGTTTTGGGCTGGAGGTGCAATTGGCTGTAGGTTGACCCTGCCCTCAAAGCAGCATTTTGTGTAGACACCATTTGTATTCCTTTCCTCTGCAAAATATTTCCCCGCGCAATGATTGCAAAAGCGATTCATCAAGCCCAAATGATGTTGTATTGGTAACTGAACACGAGGTAGTTGCTGAAGAGGGGGCGGTGGCTGGACATGAGGTGGAGGCTGGATATGAGGTGGTGCCTGGATATGAGGTGGGGCCTGAACTGGAGGTGGGGCTTGAACTGGAGGTGGGGCCTGAACTTGAAGTGGTGCCTGAGCATGGATTTCATGCTGAATATTTTCGATGGCGGCTTGAGCATGGCCACGTTCAGCTTCAGGATGTGCTTCCTGCAACTGTTGAAGTTCCTGTAAAGCTCGGGCTACTCGTTGGTCGTGAAGCGCAGGGTCTTCACCTTCCAGGGCTTCCTGAGCTTCCTGCCGTTGCTGCAGTTGCTGCCGTTGTTGACGACGCTGACGTTCGCGTCTTCTTTGACCTTCAACAGTAAGTAGTCGGTGGCGTCGACGTGGCATATCAACGGTGTTTTACTATAGGGAGGATGGCAAAATAATTGCAAAAATATTCCAGCTTAAGCTCCACAGAAAATAATAGAAATTAGAAAATTTTTAAAGACAAAGAGTAAGAAAAGATTTAAAAAAATTCAAATGGAAATTTGATATTATTAAAGATTAACAAAATAAAAGTGGGGCTTACTTGAAGATAAAGTCGCAAATGTTTGGCAGTTTATTCAAGAGCGTGTCTGGTAGAATATATACCAGGTTAACCTGGAAAAAAAAATAACAGTAAATTTCAAAATTGCGAGTTTGCAAATCAAGAACAAAAACAAAGGCAGCGTAAGAGAACATTTTACAAAGAGGAGAATAAAACTATAACTAAAGGGGGCTCACTTGAAAATAAAGTGGCAATTTTTTCGGCAGTTTATTCAACAGCGTGTCTCGTAGAATATATACCAGGTTAAACTGTACACAAAATAACAGTAAATTTCAAAATTGCGAGTTTGCAAATCAAGGACAAAAACAAAGGCAGCGCAAGAGAACATTTTAAAAAGAGGAAAATAAAACTAAAACTAAACGGGGCTCACTTGAAAATAAAGTCGCAATTTATTCGGCAGCTTACTCAAAAGCTTGTCTGGTAGAATATATACCAGGTTAACCTGCACACAAAATAACAGTAAATTTCAAAATTGCGAGGTTGCAAATCAAGGAGAAAATGAAGTGGCAGCGCAAGAGAATATTTTAAAAAGAGGAAAATAAAACTAAAGCTAAAGAGGGCTCACTTGAAAATAAAGTCCCAACTTATTCGGCAGTTTATTCAACAGCTTGTCTGAGAGAATATATACCAGGTTAACCTGCACACAAAATAACAGTAAATTTCAAAATTGCGAGCTTGCAAATCAAGGACAAAATGAAGTGGCAGCGCAAGAGAATATTTTAAAAAGAGGAAAATAAAACTAAGGCTAAAGGGGGCTCACTTGAAAAAAAGTCCCAACTTATTCGGCAGTTTATTCAATAGCTTTCTGGTAGAATATATACCAGGTTAAACTGTACACAAAATAACAGTAAATTTCAAAATTGCGAGCTTGCAAATCAAGGACAAAATGAAGTGGCAGCGCAAGAGAATATTTTAAAAAGAGGAAAATAAAACTAAAGCTAAAGGGGCTCATTTGAAAATAAAGTCCCAACTTATTCGGCAGTTTATTCAACAGCTTGTCTGGTAGAATATATACCAGGTTAACCTGCACACAAAATAACAGTAAATTTCAAAATTGCGAGGTTGCAAATCAAGGACAAAATGAAGTGGCAGCGCAAGAGAATATTTTAAAAAGAGGAAAATAAAACTAAAACTAATGGGGGCTCACTTGAAAATAAAGTCGCAATTTATTCGGCAGCTTATTCAACAGCTTGTCTGGTAGAATATATACCAGGTTAACCTGCACACAAAATAACAGTAAATTTCAAAATTGCGAGGTTGCAAATCAAGGAGAAAATGAAGTGGCAGCGCAAGAGAATATTTTAAAAAGAGGAAAATAAAACTAAAACTAAACGGGGCTCACTTGAAAATAAAGTCGCAATTTATTCGGCAGCTTATTCAACAGCTTGTCTGGTAGAATATATACCAGGTTAACCTGCACACAAAATAACAGTAAATTTCAAAATTGCGAGGTTGCAAATCAAGGAGAAAATGAAGTGGCAGCGCAAGAGAATATTTTAAAAAGAGGAAAATAAAACTAAAACTAAACGGGGCTCACTTGAAAATAAAGTCGCAATTTATTCGGCAGCTTATTCAACAGCTTGTCTGGTAGAATATATACCAGGTTAACCTGCACACAAAATAACAGTAAATTTCAAAATTGCGAGGTTGCAAATCAAGGAGAAAATGAAGTGGCAGCGCAAGAGAATATTTTAAAAAGAGGAAAATAAAACTAAAACTAAACGGGGCTCACTTGAAAATAAAGTCGCAATTTATTCGACAGCTTATTCAACAGCTTGTCTGGTAGAATATATACCAGGTTAACCTGCACACAAAATAACAGTAAATTTCAAAATTGCGAGGTTGCAAATCAAGGAGAAAATGAAGTGGCAGCGCAAGAGAATATTTTAAAAAGAGGAAAATAAAACTAAAACTAAACGGGGCTCACTTGAAAATAAAGTCGCAATTTATTCGACAGCTTATTCAACAGCTTGTCTGGTAGAATATATACCAGGTTAACCTGCACACAAAATAACAGTAAATTTCAAAATTCAAAAAAGTGAAATTCATCGTGAAAGTGAAATGCTTCTATTTTTTAGGAATGAAAGATTTATATTTCAAAACAGGAAGGTTGAATGGAAACTGACTTACTTGAAAACAAAGTGGCAGTAGATAAACCTCTATCTAAGTATGTGTCTGCGCGGTCGTCTCTGTTTCAATCTGCGTATTGTTGATTATTGTTGGTTTAAATATGCTTATGGACTGTGCAGATTTTATGGAAATAGGCAATAAATTTCTCAATTTTAACCATTAGTGCCGGAAAGTGCGAATTTCGATTTGTATATCCAATAGCGATTATCTGGTTAAGATAGCAGGGGAATAAGTGGGTATCAACTTCGTGTTCGCGAATTACGAGGTAAGTGTAGGTAGCAAAAACTAAGGGAACATGCCAATATGAGGTGAAAAAAGTAATGTCAATTCTAAAAATATGCAATGAAGTTGAAGGCAAATATATAGAAAAATGTTTACTGGGAATAAGAGTAAATATCAAACTGCAAAGGCATTAAATTTAAAAAAGAAATATTTCAAGGTATACAAGTAAGTATTAAATTAAAAACTTACCCGGTTGTGTTTTGTGACACTTTGAGTGTGAGTTTGAATGTTCTCGATCAGGAATGAATCAGTTTGGTGCTGGCAACTCTATATATTCTTACCTTGCAGCGTGGTTGTAGGTGATGGGGTAAACATTTAGGTTTATTTTGGTTGTTAATTGCAAAATAAGATAGATATAGGTTGTATGCTTTGTTTAATTGGCTGCTTTGAGCTTAATTGATATGGTGATTAAATGTGTTTCGGAATGGTGGCTGTAGATGATTGAGGAAGCATTAATTTATAATGTATATATTTTTCTAATTGGGTAGTTGTGTCGATACTTATTCATGAAAATATGCGGATTTAATATGCTTGGTACTGCCTTATTGTTCTTATATAATAATTCCGTGAGAAATATTGTTCCAGATTGTAATTATGGGAAAATACCTAGAAGGAGTAATGAAAATAGACAATGGGTTACAACTTTGTTTGTCATTTATTCGAGGATAAGAATAGAAATATATATATGGTAACTCTTAAAAATAAATATTCCCTTGGTTACAGTTTATTGATATGGTGGGTCCTTTTGCTTTTTCTGTTTTTTTGCGTGTTTCGACTTTGCTTATCTGTTTCGTTTTCAGACAGATGTAAACGGTTGTTCCGGGTCTATGAAAAAGATGGTGAAAATAAATTGAGAATTTTGTATGCGCAGGGGGTGGAAGAAGGGTAACAATAAGGCCTTCTGTTGGTCACAATGATAGTCGATGAATAAAAAGTTGTGCGTTAACATGAACTCATATTACCTGATGTTATGTAGGGGTTTGCTTTCGCGGTCGGCGAGATAGAATGGTGTTGTTCGGCTAAAATTTAAAAGCCGCGACACTCTTCTTTTCAATGAAGCCATTGGTTCAGGCTTCCAAATAACTTTCTAAAATAAGGAAATGTTGGCTGTGAATTAAAGGTTGAAAAAGAGATGTTGGAAGAATATATGGTTATGATCAATAATGAGAAGAATTTTGGTTTTTTGAAATAGGAAAAAAGATAAAGATGTGATGAATGGGTGAATTTCGATGCTCAATAAAGGTTTTGTGAATGAAAGGAATAGGTTACTGTATACAAACCTTTGAGTTGTAGCCAAGGACGATGGTAATGTATTGTGCCATATCTAGAAAGGGGTTAAAATGAAAGTATCAGTTTGAGTTTTTCCTGGGATTGTGATATGATAATTGTAGTATCAATAGTAGATGTTTGAAGATGTGCTAAAGGAGAAGTATTAAAATAGATTTCATGAGGAAGTAAATCTTGTTTTTAAAGATTGAAATAATTTAAAGTATGTGGAAAAAAGTGAAAGGAGATTCAGAAATAGATCATCACTCTGCTGATAAGATTGGCTGTCTTATTGATAAAAATTTGATAAAAATTTGAAAATGGTACTCACTTTTTGGATTCGGAAAACTTTTCTTTCGAACTTGACAGCTTTGGCATACGAATACAGTGTTCGTGGGCTCAGGGAAATTATTCACTTTAATCTTGGAATCTGGTTACTGTACGGATAGTGGGTGTGTAAATGCGGAGATTAAATGAAGTTATCAATTTGCCAAATAATAGCAATTTGGAAGTAATCAGACTTTTGTTAACATGGAAGATTTTCCTGGATGCATTCTCTTTTTTTAAGTTAAGTGATTTCACACTTGTTTGGGTCTCGATTTAAGGTTGAGTGCTGGTTTTTGGATTATGTTTGGCATTTTGAATAAATAGAGCATATCCCGTCTCGGAAATTGAAGTCGGCTATTCATGGCTTTTCCATTTCATTAAGCATTTCATAGTTAAATGGACTGTGGTGAGAGATTGTTGTAAGAAAATAAATGTTTGTGAATGGGTACATTTATAAGAACAGAACTGTTACTATATCAAGAAAAAAGGAAGTTATTTAAGCACGAATTGAAAAATAGTGCCAAAATGAGACTAAATATACAAATTATTCAAAGACGAATTTATAACTGCTGCAAATATTTCATAGTTATATGGACTGTCGTGAGATACTGTTACTATATCAAGAAAAAAAGAAGTTATTTAAGCACGAATTTAAAGAAAGTGGCAAAATGAGACTAAATATACAAATTATTCAAAGACGAATTTATAACTGGTGCAAATATTTCATAGTTATATGGACTGTCGTGAGAGATTCTTGCAACGAAACATATCTTAGTCAAGGGAGTGTTACTATATAGAGAATAAAGGAAGTTATTTAAGCAGGAATTTAAAGATAGTGGGAAAAATTAGACTAAATATACAAGTTATTTAAGGAGGAATTTATAAGTAGCATAAAAAGTTACACTTTAAAGATGAATTTAACAATAGTGCGCACAAAATGATAGTAGGAGGGTTTGAGATGCTCACGGATCTGGGAGGCAAAATAAAGGTAGAGGAGCTGATGTTAATGGGAAAAGCAAGGACAGCAGAAAACCAGATACATTTTCATGGAGAAGTTATTGGGAATTGATCCGTTAAATAGCAACCGAGCTATTCGGTTGCTGAAGAAGGGCCGGGGCGAGGTTCTTCTGACTCTTCCATTTCCGACATTAACAGGAGCTCCTCATTTTTACTCGTGTCACCTAGATCGGAGAGCATGGCCTCTTCTGTTTCGAATTCCTTTTTTAAGGCTTTAAAAGATTTCTCAACAGCGGCGATTCTGGCCTCGGCAGACATGATGTGGCCTTTCATTTTGGTAATTTCTTTTTGTTGTTTCTCCATATTTTTTATTTGTTCTCTCAGGTCCTGGTTTAAGCATTTGATCATGAGTTTGAGACTGTTTATTTGCATGGCGGTGTTTGAAAAAATTTCGGTTGTGTTGGTTTCCATCCTGGCGTGATAAGAACACAAGGAGAAATTAATCGTCTAGAGCCAGGAAGCGAAGAGCCAAATTCATTCATATATGCGAAAATGCATTGGGAATAGGATTTTGGTGAAAAGGAAAACTTTGTTACCGGAAAAAGGTTCGAATTATAAAAGGTGACGAAATCAATATATTGTGAAAGAAATAGTCAGATTCATTCGTATATAAGAAAATGCATTGAGAATAGGATTTTGCTAGGAAGAAAAAGTTACTTACGCGAGAAGGGTTCGAATTTTAAGGCGTCTGTTGTGAACGTTAGTATAGTACAAGTAGCACGAATAATCTGGTGTTGAAAATAGGAATCAGAGGTAATTTTATATGGTAAAATACGAGGTGGCGAAATCAATATATTATGAAAGAAACAGTCAGATTCATTCTTATATACAAAAATGCATTGAGAATAGGATTTTGCTAGGAAGAAAAAGTTACTTACGCGAGAAGGGTTCGAATTTTAAGGCGTCTGTTGTGAACGTTAGTATAGTACAAGTAGCACGAATAATCTGGTGTTAAAAATAGGAATCGGAGGTAATTTTATATGGTAAAATACGAGGTGGCGAAATCAATATATTATGAAAGAAACAGTGAGATTCATTCGTATATACAAAAATGCATTGAGAATAGGATTTTGCTAGGAAGAAAAAGTTACTTACGCGAGAAGGGTTCGAATTTTAAGGCGTCTGTTGTGAACGTTAGTATAGTACAAGTAGGACGAATAATCTGGTGTTAAAAA